TTTTACACTTAGGGAACCGATTCCCTATGAGGGGGAACCGATTCCCCCCACGCTCCAAGCTGTTTTATTAAATGTTTTTCACACTAAAACGGCTATAATATCTTCTCTAATCATCCCCAACGTTCAGAAGTGATCCAAGGTGTATTTAAGCAAGCTTAGAAGCCATTGATCAGTAACAAGAAACATCAAGCAACTAGAATCAAGAGAGAATCAAAGAGAAAGCATCAAACCTCAAGTTTGAGCATTTCAAGCCTATTTTCATTCAATATTCATTTTGCTTTCAAGAACACTTTTTGTGCTCAATTGTATTCATCTTTGAGTGTTCTTTTCTTTGTTCTAGAATTGTGCAAACATCTTACCTTGTGAGGTTTTCTTGTAAGTTTGCAAATTTGTAATCTTCTCTTTGAGAAAAGAGTGTTCTCAAGAGTTGGGGTATACTCTTGAGGGAATTGTAAGGTTATCTCTTTGGCCTCAAAAAAAAGAACAAATTAGTGAATTTGTTGGAAAATCCTTAGTGTGGATAGCTAAGGTAGTGGACGTAGACTTTGTTTGAGAAAGTCGAACCACTGTAAATCGCTGTGCAATTACTTTCAATTTTCTGCAAAAGCTTCCACAAAATTTTTATTGCCAATTCACCCCCCTCTTGGCCAATTTCGTCATTCGATTAACTCAACACTTTTATTTAGCATGTGAAATCAATGACTTTTATACTACTTATAATTACATTATTTTATCCACAAGAAGAACAGACACAGATTTGGATTATTAAACCTGTTTTTTTAGCTTGAATGACTTGCATGTGGAGGATATTTTTTGGTTAGTATGAGATAAATATAAGGTAATATATTAATGATGTTGGTTCAAGTGGTAGACAACTTGATATTGTTTAAGTAAAGTCTTAGGTTCGAGTTCCAAATAGTTCCAGATTAATCAGGACGAAACTTTGAAACTGCAACAAAAAAAATAAAAGGTAATATTTATTTAAAAGACATTCAATTATTCGATAACGGACACCTATACACTGTTACAAATGTTGTACCTGAACCTATAACTTTAAGGAATAATAAAAATTTATCATGCTTTACAAGTGAGCTCACTTTTAGATGTATTCGATTAGGCAATTAGGCCACTGTCTTTAAAAAAAATTAGGTTTCAAGACCAAAGGAAAAATTCGAGGAGAGTCGTTTGTTCAATGACGAAAATCGTATCACTGATGAACACTACTGGACTTATCAAAGAGTCAAGTTTGGCAATCATGTGGAGACGTTAAAGGACCATCGCTGCTTCAACCATGGGATCTTCTTCAGTTGATGCGATTGATCGAAGAAGAGACAAGTCTTACCAACAGCCTTGCCTGTTCGACCATCTTTGGTTCTTCTGTGGTACTTGTAAACATTCTCAAATTTCTCTTTGAATTTCTTGCACTTGGATGATAACCAAGCTCAGCTAGTTTCCTGATTTAAAATGGAAAGAAAAGAGTTTGTTCAACCGTGGGCTCTCTTGCAGTCTGGCAAAAAGATTAGGGTTTGAATCAGGTTGGGAGCAACTGAAAGTTTTGTTATTTTTGTTCCCATAAATGATGACACATCATATCAAATTTATATTATCGGTGAGTAACTAAAACATATACAATGAGAGAAATATTCTATAAATAAAATAATGTACCTTTGGATTTCTTTCTAAATATTTATTTGATATCGTAACGAGGGAATCCAAGCAAAGCACTGAAAAGTCATTTACGATACGTATTGTTTCTTTCCCATGTCGCTCTCGGGGCCTTCTCATTGACACGGCTTTCAATATTGAAATGCGTTGAAATCTGGAGCCAGTATCGTCGTCTCCATCTGTCACTCTGATGAACAGTGGATACAGAAAGGAAGTGGTGGAGCCTTCGCATATAGATACAGCATGCATGGCAGCACATCTCCCGGGCAATTCCCTTTATTTATTTATTCAAAATTGTCGATAACTTCTCAATCAAAACGCCAACTCCGTTATCCCGTCGACATTTTCCACAGTCACTATTTAATTATGCATGTGAGCGATGGTTTTATGAAAACTCTGTAAAGATAACAGTAATTAGAGTAAGTTGCAGCATATATAATGACCGTAAGTTTCTTTGTTCGCCGCCCCAAACCACAGCAGCTCTTCAGCTTCATATCAACCATATATTACATTTGAATTTAATGGTCAAAGAAAGCAAAGAGACACAATTTAAGCGACAAAATTATTGTAATGCAAATTCAACAGTTTGTTTGTATGGCAAGACGTGGGGACAACAGCAACTACTTGTAATGCCAAAACATTTACTGTATAAAGGCAAATCAGAGCCTCGGCTCTCCATAGTATAATAATATTTTGGACATAAACTAATACCCTTTCCCTGAGGGAAGACATTGGTGTTGTCAATTCCATTTTGTACGAACCAATGATCATCAAATCAACCCAACAATTCTTTCTTTATTTCATTTTAAAAAAAATGGGATCGAAGTTTTTGGGATATCTCTTTAGCCACTAAGATTAATTTAGCTTATCTATCGCTTAGAATTTTGTTGGAGATCACAAAACACGTTGTTGAGCATTATGGTTTTATGTTTTTCCCATCTTTGTTTGCTCTGTAAATCATTTATGAAGGTTTATAATTATGATTTTATTTATATTCACAACTACTTTCTTAGCACTTAATTATGATTGCTTGTATTTATATCCATCTATGACCATTTTCTTAAATATGGTGAATGTTTCGTATTTCAGGAGAAAATGTTTGCTGGGGAGTGGTCCTTTTTATTAGGTTGAAGAGTGTTTAAGAAATTTATTTGCTTATGCAACAATGGTAATTTTGTTTGCAAGATGGGTAGTCTGCAGGGAATGTTTCGTTTGGGCCGGGGGTTATTTCGTTTCGTGTTGTCCTTATTTAGCCGGGTAGGATATACTCTTTTCCTCCGTTTAAGTTTATGGAGGTTTTTAATTAGGCATTCTACTTTGACTTATGTTTTTTTTTGTTGCTATTCTAATAGAAGCTTTTTGCAGAGAGAGAAAAAAATGATGAATATCGTAAATAATCCTCATGTGTTGTATCAGTGGGGATGCAAGAGTGTTTTTCTTTCCATATTTCAGTTGTTAAATAAGTTTATGTTTGAGGGCTGGTCGAAGCAAGATATTCCTTGGGCCTCTACTTGTTATGCATATGGGACTGAGACCTTGAATGTTAATGATATGCATAATACCAACAAAATCTAATCACGTTTAACAAAATATTCACTTTTGGCCTTTATTCTTTTTTAGAGTATTTTGGTCATTAACGTTTCATTTTGAGAAAAAATGCTCCTTAGATAAAAACTATTAGTCAACAAACGATTGTTACTCTCAAATAAGAGCTTTTTACCCTAAAATAAACGTTAAGGGCCAAAATACTCCAAAAGAAAATAATAAGATTCAAAATGACTATTTAGTCAAACGTATGAGCCTTTTGTCTTAATATAAAATATTATGAATCAAAATGCTATAAAAATAATAAAAGAAAAAATGATTTTTTATTTAAACATTAAGAGTATTTTTTAGCTTTACGTCTAACATGATTTGTCTACCCTTAACATATGATGAAAGAGGAAGGGGCTCGATGTTGTACTACATTGTCAGTCAGTTATCAAAAGTATGATAATAGATTTATGGGTTACCTCCCCCTCCATCCCTCACCATAGTACCTTTGTATATGTTATGATACTTAAATTCAATGTCCAAATTGTTATTGAGTCAATGAGGTCTAGTATCTATGTGAACTACTCAATCATCGCAACTAATACGTGATGTATATTGTCTTCGATAAATTCTTGTTATAGATAATTGTTATTAATCAATTATCATATAAAAGAATAAAATGGCAGGTGAAAAGTGTTCTATAAAAGGTCATTTTGATAATGTACACCTTGATTTATATGACACAAGAAAATCATTTTATAATCATTAAATAATGTTATAATCATAAATAAAAAAGCATATTTCAATAATAAAGCCTAAAGAAACATTAGCCGCAGAGAATAATAAAGAAGTGAAAAGAAGGCAAAGTGAAAACGTAGTCACATTGACCTTATAGCTTCGGCCGAATAGTAGGAATGGGTAAGAAGGCAAAGGTGAAAAGGAGACGTGGACCCTGACCCACTCTGTCGGTCATGGCCTCGAACTCCTCGCCATTCCCTAAAGCTACAAACTATACGAGCAAGTAGGGGTGGGTGTAGAAATATTATTTAAGATAAATATATACATATTAATTATTATAATTTTTTATACGAGTGTACGTAAATAAAATTTTAGGATCGACATTCTTAATAAAATAGATAATTAAATTAAAAAATATATAAATTTTAGTATAAATACATGCTTACTTTATATATGCTTTGCGTTCACCGCTACATACCAGGTCTAAGACAAAAAACACTCACATTTTAAATATCACGTACGATAAATCTTGCATCTTTTTCTAGTATTTCCAATGTTACTTTTCATCTAAAAATATAATTTAGTGTTTGTACATATATATCAATGCTGAAAAAGTGAGGGATATTAAATGTGTTTTTCCATTGTGGGGGCAGCTCAATAACTCAACAACTCCTCTTACTCACTTTTAGGCCCTCTTTTTCAGTTTAACATGAACGATACATGCCCCTAAATCTCACAAATCCTACGGTTCTTAAGGGGTCTGGAGGCTTTCATGAAGGATTAGACAGTACAGCCTGTGTAGATTATTTATTATGTTTGATGACACCATCAACCATCATGCCCCTAAATCTAATTGTGGGTTTCGTTCCAATGCAAGGCGCTCATTTCATCAATCAACTTCTTAATCATTACATCAAAAAGAATCCAACGGTTGGAAAACAAGATCTCTGGTACATTTGGTAACACACAAAGTAGAGAGAGAGTAGAGAGCATGTCATTTATGGAACTTAGAAAAACAACTGGTAGGGTCGGTCGATTCTGCAGCTATGTTTTTGTCTTTTTTTTTAACGTTGGCTTTCCACTCCCTTTTACTCATCTTTAACCCCCTACTTTTTCTCACCCTAAATTCACTTCATCTTCATCATCATCACATGATCACTCTCAACTTTGTCTATCTTCTCTTGTCTCTGTCTCCCCGCCCCCCTTGAACGAAGGCGAGTCTCGTGTGGGGATATGGATTATAGAGATAAGAGAATCAGAGACACACACACAAAGCACTTTAAAAAAGAGTTTCTTTTGAAATATAGGTTTGATCTGGATGTTCTAAAGGGGTTTCTCTTTGAGGGGAATGTTGTCTGGCTCGAGGATGTTTCTGTGAATCAAATTTTAGTTTGTTCTTATGGATCTTGTTGTTGTTGTGCAAGGGATTTGAGTTTGTGGCAGCGCCGTCGGACCAGGCTTCATTCCCCCCAATTACTACTCCTATTTCGAACATCCCAACAAAGGCTGTATAGATCATGAGAAAAAGGTTTGATTTTTAGCTTGAGTGATCATTTTGGGTGTTTTTCTTTGCCTGTTATGGCAAGAATTGGAGGTTTTAGATCATTGGGTGTTTTGTTTTTTTCAGAGCAAAAAGGGTTTTTATTTTAGTTGCAGATTGGTGTAATGATAAGGGGTTTGACCAATTCTCTTTTCTATCATATGGAAAAAAGGTTTCATCATTACTCTCTTTTTTTTCTGTGAGGTTATGATATTGTTTTTTGTCAGTCCTAACGCTTCCTTTCTGGTTCATCATGATGCTTCCTGTATCAGATCTGCCTCTTTCAGCTGTTGTTAGATCTAACTTTGAGCTTTGGAATTTTTTCCCTTCTTTTTCATCTCTCTAGGGTTTCAAGATGGAGAGCTTTGTTAGATCTTCCTCAAAATGAATCCTTTTTGCACGATGCTTCGCCTGGGTACAGGACCAAAGGTAAATGCAAATGAAAGACTCTCCCTTGCTTTAACAGTTTGAAAGTCCCATGGAAATGAAATACCTTAGTTCTGTATATCTCAGTATATTTATTATATTGTAGTTTCTATATACAGCCAGCCAGCCAGCCATAGCTAAAATGAGTAATGGAGCTTTCACTCAATGTAAATGAACACCCATGGCATCTCAATCTAAAAACCCTAGAACGTTGAAAACCAGGGTCAGGGTTTGAATCGTCTTGCTGCTTCTTGCAAACAGGGTTGAGGTGCTTTGAGCAGCAAAGCGCAGGCATTTTAATTAGCAAATGAGTGATTATCATTTGAAAGAAAGGAGATTCTCCCAATGTTAGTGCTTTCTTTTGGTCATATTTTGGAATTAGGGAGCAAAAAGCGAGGTGTGAAGATCAGTTTACATCAAATTTTACATAATTTGGAATTTGCTCTACTCATGGAGGACGAGGAACAGAACACATGAAGGAAGAGTTGATTAGAAAGATTGACAGGCTTTAGATTATATGTCACGTTATTTATCCCACTTGTTTTCCTTCTCACTTCTTTCCTTTCAAGTATATAATTATTTTATTTTATTTTTATAGATAAATGATGATATATAATTTTAAAAAAGAACTATTAAAGTTTCCAAAATTTCAAAAGAAAATTTATTTAAAACAATTAATGTTTCTGTATCTAGTTTTAATCACCTGATCTTAGATACGTCCTATTGGTCTTTCTTTCCCTTACTTATTCTCTCCATAATGTTCTAAAAACAGTGCTTTGTGCCCTAAAGAACCGCGTTCCGGGATCCTTTTAACCTTTGCAAAAAGATGAAAAATAATGATAATAAATAATTGTATAAATATTATATTGTTTGATTTTTTTATTAATATGAAGTAAGCACAACGAATTATTTGTTCAAAGATAACTCTCAACTATTTGACACTTAACGCTCACACTACTAATATTTCTGGTACTCAAACCCGAGACTTCCAGGAATAACAACAATGCTTTTGTTTACTGAGATCACTCGGTTCGTGTTTATATTGCTTGATTGATTGAATTAAATAGATGAGGAATAATATTATTTTGTTTGGTTGGTTGAAATTATATTAAGGAATAAGTAAAAAAATAGATATAGAAATTGAACTATTAAATTTCTTTATTAATAGAATACAAGTATATTGACTGTATCAAATAATATAGTAATATACTCTATTTATAAAGAGGTAGGATCAATGTAAAATTATATATATATATATATATACATATACTTTTTAATATTATTGAATAAGTAAAAATTAAAAATTGGGATTAACATTAGAAGATAAAGGGATTTATACAAAAAAAATAAAAAAATAAAAATATAATTACATCCATTCATATTTAATTATTAAACGATGTTAAAATAATGTAAAACTAAAATTTATACAAATGTAAATAGATCGTATCTCATTTATAAATACAAAATATTTGCATATAATAATATGAAATATAACTATACTAAATCATTAAATAAATTTTTAAATATATTAAATATTTACAGTTTAATTTTCACCAAAAAATATTTATAGTTTAATATAATTGGAAATTTTAATATTTAATAAGAAATTAATTAAAAAAAAAATAATAATTTATTTTAATAACACAGGTTTCACCTATCCAATATAAAAAATTTAAAAGTATACACTATTTTAGATCATTGCATAAATGTAAAATGATTACTGAAATTAAGCATTTCTTCCCGTAAAAATTACTTTTCATTTTTCTAATCAGAGTCATTACCTCATTTAATTATTTTAAATCAATGTAAAATTCAAAAATATTATCTTTAACCTGTTTTAATATAATAATATTTAGAGATGATGGTTGAACTATATGAAAATCAGGTTCATACGGTCGTAATTCCTTCCTTACCCATCCCTTGTATTTCTATTTGCCTCTTGTATTCAGTTCATGTTCTTCAAAACAAGTTATCCAAAAGAGAAAAAAAAGTTTTTAAAACAAAATCCAGAACATCCAACACCCAAATCTTTGTTAATGTCAGCCACTTCTGCCATTGTGTTCCATCAATCGTAGCTGTCTCCAAAACTCGATCTTTCTTAACCTCTAAACATGTTTTTTCATTCGTCAAGCTTAAAAACGAACACAATTTTATGTTAGATGGTAAATTAAAATTTTAGAAGAAACGAAAATAAATTTTTAATAAAAATACATATAAGATAATTTTAAATTTTTAAGTGTAAACTGTCCTAACCTACCTCTCTATCCTTGGTCAAACTCAATCTTACGAATTTAACAGATATCAAAATTCATGTCACTCTACCTGTCAAAAATATGTTTTTTAATGGAGCTAATATGAAATCATATCACCATTTAGTTTTCACTTCTAACCTGCCATAAATCTGTCGACCATCTCCTGGTTTCCGTCTGCAAGTAAACCCTGCTTGTTGATCTAATTTTGTCATAAAAATGGATTCTTTTTACATTTGTCGATGTTGTATGTCGAATCACACAACTGCTTAATTTAGTAATCAACTCACTGAAAGCCGAATGGTGTGAAAGAAAGATTCACCTTTGACATCTCTAGATTATCACGCAGAAAGCTTCACCTTTGACCTCTCCAGATTATTACGCAGTTTTTTCAGACAAAACGACCTTAAAACAAACTGGATTTAATTTGGTCTCCCAAATTTGTAACATTAGTAAACTCTTCATTAACTTTTAGGTAATAAATCTAAGGATTATTCTTCTCCCACCAGCGGTGATGCTCACCACCAATGATAAGCACCGATAAATTAATTTTTAAAACGTTAAAATTCTAAAGACTCAACGTATAACTATAAATTTATTAAAATTTTAAATGTTAATTATTGAAAATAAAAAATAAACTATACCGATAACCACCTAATTATTGTCCCTTTTTATTTTGATCAACATTTTTAAAATTTTGTCAATCAGATCACTCAAGTACTATTTAAATGCATTCAATAAAACCACTTGTTGTTATAATATTTAACAGAAAAACTTATGTGACAGCTAAAATATTTGATATAATTAGACATTTAATTTATTTTACTTATATATTCTATCAATTTGGCCAAAGTAGTTAATTGGAGAGGAATCCAATTTAATGTCAGCCAATATAATTTTTCTTTTCACATTATCATCTTTTATTATTTCTAATAATAAACTAAAATAAACATGTCAATGTTTTGTGATGAAACCTGCCAACATTTCTCCATGTTCTTCGTTTTTTAGCTTAAAATGTTATATTTTATATTGATACACGCAAGACAATTAGTGTGACAAATTCATGTGTTTAAATTATATCTTTCAATGATTCTAGGAGTTTAAATTAGATGTTTTATTTTATTTTGTAATTACTTTTATTTTATTACTCAACTATCCAAGTATTATAACTTTAATTTTAACTAATTTATCGGATTATAAGTAAAATCTAATTGTTTTGGATTAAATTTTGAGTTTTAAAATTATTAGGAACCAAATTGATAGAATATATAAGAAACATGGACCAAATGTGTAATAATATCAAATATATTAATTCACACATCAGTTTTCTGTTAAATATTAACGAAAAATGACTTAATTGAATGCATTTAAATAGTTGAGTGGCCTAATTGACAAAAATTCAAAAACAGTGGTCAAATTAAAAAGGGACAATAGTTAGGTGGTCATTGATATAGTTTACCTTTTATTTTAAATAATTTACCTTTAAATTTTTAACTAATTTATAATATATGTTGAGTCCTTTAAAAATTTAATTTTTTATAAATTAAATTAATTGTGCTCATCATTAATGATGCTCGTCGTACTCGTCAAGCGTCGTAGAATTTTCCAACCAAATATCACAAAAATAGTGAGGAGAACCCTAAAACTTGCTTAAAACCCAATATTTGTTTAAAAATCACCAGGTCCAAATTAGGGCAACTAGAAGTTTATTATGGGATTTATAGCGTTTTTTATAGTGACTTGAATCTCATCACATTGAGGTGGTGAGTTTTAATAAAAAAATATTTTTGTATTCTAACTTTTTACCTAAATAGATTTTTTATTAGATCTTATAATTTCGATGTGATGAGTTTTAATAAAAAATATTTTTTTAAATCATAATCTCAACTATATAAATTTTATGAATGTTATAAAAATGTCATAGATCCGAAATAAAAACCAAATGCCCTAGTGAGCTAAATAAAAAAACCCGGTATCCGGGCTAAAAACACGATTACAAAGGTATTATCAAGCCCAAATATTTCTTGAAATATTCATTTCGATGCTATCTGAAGAATGAATCTTCAAGTTGACTGCAAAAGCACTAGTGTAGTCTATTCGATCATAATGACTCGCGTAGTGAAAAGTTACCAAATTCAGTACTTAATAGACATATTAAACACTTTTTGTATCTAAACATTCAAAAAGTATATTTGTAAATATTAAGTTTTAATAGAAAAATTGGCCCTTAAAATATGACCTGATTCCCATTTTGGCCCTTAACTTTTAATAAATAAATCATAAGTACAATAATTACAGTTTCAAGATATGAAATTTACAACTTCATTAGTAAGAGATTGAGATTTTTATTTTAAATTAGACTTCAATTTTAGTCAAGAAAAATATTAAATTGACAAAAGTAAAAGAAATAAAAAAATTAGTGCAGAGATATAATATTATATAGTTATAACCAAATTATCTCTTAAGTGTTTGGTTGATACTAATCCTCAATCTGATTTCTAACAATTCTTATCTAAAAATGTATTGGGTAAATCATAAATTTTATCACTCAATTTACTTCTCATTCCTACTTTGGTTACTAAGGTTTAAAATTTTTTAAATTACTCACTGAACTTTCGATATGTTCATATTTTAACCACTCTATCATTAAATACTTAATAATGCTATGACATGCCACTTTCCTTTAAGAAATGACCCCAAAACTTCATTTTTTGTAAAAAAAAATTTAGTTTCGAATCCCTTTTGATTTCTTAACGATGAAGTATTTTCTTCAAAATCCCAATGAGGAGGTAAAGAAGGAGGAAGAGAGTTATATACCTTAATTACATATTGATTAGATGATGTATATTATATACCAAAGTTTTTTTTTGGATTTGATGAGTTTTGAGTTTAGGGTAGAAGTTTTAAAGTGATTTAGGTAAAATATAAATTAACATAATGGTAAAAGACAATGCGGCAAGTTCGTCGGTACTTGAGTGTTTGGAGAAAACATCAAAGAATGGTAATTGCAATGCCAATGTGACTCATGGATGAAATTATAAAATTTTCATCTTTACATGATTATAAAATAAAAGAAAAATAGAGAGAAAATAGCTTGGATGATTCATTGATTCCATGTCAACAAAAATAGTCCGTTGGACTACATCAGCACACATGATTAACATGTAACCTTCCTAAAAAATAGATTGTTGTGTTACCCTTTCATTCATGATTTAACATTGAGCGAGTAAAATATGAGCAAATTGAAAGTTCAGTGAGTAAATTATATTTTTTAAATTTTAGTGATCATAATAGGAGTGAAAAGAAAGGTGAGTGATAAAATTTGTAATTTAGTCAAATGTATTGTATATTCAAAACGACATCTTGCCTGTGGTGTTTGGACTATACCTCACCCACCATTCACCTTCGGCGTGTGCCTCTCGCTAACCACTGTTTACCATTCCTACGCCATTGCGTTCATTACAACGATAAACTAATCAATCTTCTCCAAATCCCTTTATCATCATCAACTAATTCCCTTTAAATCAACCGTCTTGGAAACAACTTTATCCACAAAACCCCAGTGCTTTCCGCATCAGATAAACCTCCCTTCACCTTTTCCCTATATATTTAACTTCCTCTAACTTCCGGTTGGTGAAAGTTTTACATTACCATGAATAACGTCCCAAAGTTTCTCGGATACTCTTCACTCACTATCCTCGAACAACCCATTGCAAAGGACCCTTGACCTTAACCTTTTTTATCCTCTCTTTTATGATAATTATTTTTTGTTGTTTGTAATTGTGGGAGAAATGGGCAGTGGAGAGAAAAGTTCGAGGAACTTTCATTTACACCTACCGCACCTTCATCATCATCATCATCAGGGGAAGATACAAACGAGGGATGTCCCGAGAGGGTGTTTGGCAATCAAGGTTGGTTCACAAGGAGAGGAGCAACAGAGATTTGTGGTGCCTGTTATGTACTTCAATCACCCTTTGTTCATTCGGCTGTTGAAGGAAGCAGAGGAAGAGTACGGGTTCGACCAGAAGGGGACCATCACTATCCCTTGTCACGTTGAAGAGTTTAGGAATGTACGGTGCTTGATCGATAGGGAAAAGTCCCCTTCATCATGTCGAATGTTTTAGGGTTTGATTTATTTAGTTTTATGGTTTTCTTCTAATAAGTGCCAAGCAAGGGCGGCCAGAAACCATGATCATAATTTTTAATTTCTAATATGATATTTTCATCTTTATTTTTCCTGGTTTTGTAAATCTGGGAAGTGTTTAATTTCTTCTTCGAGTTTGTTTTCTCTTGCTTTTTTCCCCCTGTTTCTTGGTAGGCCCTTTACCCTTAGACGATGCAAAGTGAAACGATAACGGCGACAAAAGTTGCTTGAGATTGCAGTCACTTTGGTTACTTTGTTAGCACCTAGCAACCGTAATGGAAAAAAAAGCAATAAAGTAAATGCCTTTTTTTCCTTTCTTCTTATTTAAGATACAAATGATTTCAGTGGTTAAAGAGATATGAATGCATTTTGACATCATCACAAATAGACGATGGCTCTTCTCTTAGTTAGGTTTTTTTTTTTTTTTGGTTCATAGTTATGTAGAAGAAAGGTGTGAAAATGAGTATGGACCATCGACAATGATTTACGAAATATGAAATGGCTGAGTTCTTCGAAACGGGAGAAAGGCTGCATGCCTGTATCGCCTGCGTTTCATGCAATACGAGTAAGAGTTAATTTAGATTTCTTAAAGACAAATTCTGAATCAAACCTGAACGTGTGTGACTGTTCGTTTTTTCTTATTTGGACCACACATGTATCGAAAGAGTCAACAAAGTCGGATGATTTTTGTTAGGCGTGTTGGCATGTTCATATGGAACTGCCCGTTGATACCGAGGTTTTTTGGGGCGGACATGACTCTTTATTCACACCGGACACAGACAAAGACAGTTTTGTATCATTTTGGAGTGTACAGATTTATGTAATGTATTTAATAGAAAATGTTAGAAAAAAAATATTGGCAAAAAATTGAACGCTTATACAAATATTAGAAAATAATAAATTATTTTCTACTGCAACACCGAAGAAGACTGCATCGAACTTACGAAATTACTTCCTTCAACCGAATCTGCTCTGGTTGACTGTGCTATATCACCTTGATGGCAGATGATGTCCAATTCAACAGAATGTTTTCTAGGGAAGAAGAACAGAAATAAAATGATCTCTTGAATATGCGATGAAACTATCTACATGGGTTGGATTAGGCTGCAGATTGATTTTTATTTTTAAAAAAATTAAGCATGGATTGGATTCACTGTTTATATAATAATGATAAATATTAAAATTATACATCAATGTTAACTGAATGTATAGCACAATATATAAAATTTTTGTTTTATGTAATTGTATTTATAAAAAAAATTATCTGTAATACACATCTTATCATATCCTGAAAGAGTATCATTAAAATCCATTTGTGTGAGAATTGTTTACATCTTCATTTATCTCAACGAAATTTCGGTGATGTGATCTAATTACGAAATATTATCATATTTTATAGTCATCATTATAAAGAGTAAATCAAATATTAATATTCTTATTCTTTCATTACGTAATTGAACAAGATAAATAGGGTTAAATTCAATTATACAATGTAAAATTAAAAAGTTTTACATTGATTGAGAATCGTTGGATGAGTGAAAATAGACGGTTAAAATTATCTTTTTTTTTTGTGAATATAATTTTTATTTTCTACTGTCAATCTTAACCGTCTATTTTCATTCATCTAACGATCCTAAATCACAAATTAGATGATTTAGTCTCTACCGTAAACTTTTCTATTAGAATTCTTTATCACAAATTCTCATTTCTTTTCACTCATCATTAAACAAATATGTGAACTTTTCAAATTAGACCTAACAAAATTTAAATTGAAAAATTCTACGACGTTCGGCAAACACCGATGAGCACTACTAACTATGAGCAATTGAGCATATTAATTTAATTTATAAAAATTTAAAAATCTAGAGGGCTCAAATTATAATTATAAATTAGTTAAAAATTTAAAGATGAATAATTTAAAATAAAGGGTAAATTATACCGGTGACCGCCTAACTATTGCCCCTTTTTCATTTTGACCATCATTTTTTCAATTTTGTTAATCATATTTTATTAACGTAGTTTGTTAAATATTTTCTATTTTAAGATAAATCCTTAACATTTTTACTTAGAAAATGCCTAATAATGTACTTTTTAATCACCAAATTGGTGGGTTGTAAAAATGTTATCTTAATCAACATTTTACTCCACTTGCAGTTAAAAAATACCTAGTAATGGACTATTCTTTCCTAAAATGAAAGTGATATTTAATTGATATAGCTGACGTCTCTTTACTATTAAAAGCATATGCATTAATTTATTGTCTAATTAGTCCATAATCAAACCGAGAATAACTGTTTTTGTTTCATTCAGCAAAATATCAATTTATTAGAGAATCAATTGTTGCTTGTCAGCTTTACTGATCATATTTATTTTACATAATGAACTATTAATTTGCCCTTAAAGCATATTTATTTGACTGAATTATCTCTTAAATTTTTAATTTTTTAATATCTAATGTTTGATTTCATTATTAAAATATCCTAAATCCCTTAACTTTATATAAAAATTAGGTTTTAATTATTTTCAATGCTATTCCTTATTCTATATCATTTTCATGATTTCTTGAACTAACCGGGTTCATGAGAAAGAAATAATTTTAACTTAAGTATAGAAAATTCATGAATAAACATTTTTTTTTAAAAAAATAGCAAGATTTTACGCACAAAAAACTTTCTCCTTCTGTAGCGAATGGAACAAAACGCATTTCTCCTCCTCATGATGTTGATACTGCATGGTTTGGAGCAAAGTTTATCCAGCTTCTAGCAGGGATTTAAATAGTAGTCCGCTATCGAAATAACCGTTGCTATATAACAGTAACAGTATCGTTTAAAATTATATAATAATTAACGTAATGCAACTGAAAACGCGATCACCACTATAATTTAAATAAAAGGTCAACCTCATGCGGTGAAGCATATCATGATACTTTCTTATGGCGAACATCTTCATCGTCACTGTTGTATTTGTATAGTAATAATTTAAAAAAAAAAAAAAGTAACAGCGCATCAGACCTAGCTTTCTTGGCATGGCAGGATATATGGTAGCATTATTAAGCTACTGTAATATTTTCATCATGGCCTGACTTTAAGGGATGAAAGACATAGTATAACTGAGCAGAACTTTATTTATTTTTAATAAAATTATATTTTGAAGGTTAATTCACATAGAAGATCAGTTCATGCATAGACGTTTATAAAGTTTACTATGATGTAATTCTCCTTAAACAAAGCTTAGTTGTGTGTCTCGTGCTGTAAACTTTGGCATAATTATATAATTAAATACATACTTTACTATAAAAAGAAATAAGTTGGCTAATTTAATATTTTAATTAAATATAATTATTTTAATTTAATTTAAACTTTTATTTAACATTATAATTTTTTTTGTTTTCCTTAATTAACTTTTTTATTTAATATTAAATGAAATATAATGAATTTTATATATAATACTAAATATAATTAAAACTAAACCTAATTGAATATTTTAGGTACTTGAATGAAATAAATAGAATACCTTAGGTATCTATTTTGACCAAAAAATATTCTAAATACCTATTTTGATAAAAAAAAACTAACTTTAAATATTTACTTTGACTAATAGATATTTTAGATACTTAAAATAAAAATAATGGTAAACTAAACATCTAGTACCTAAACTATCAGCTTTTGTCCGTTTTAGTACCTAAACATATAAAATTTTCAAAACCATGCCTAACATTTAGTTTTTGTATCATTTTAGTACCCCCACCATTAAAAAAACTTATCGCTGGTAGTATCTAAATTATCAGTTTTAGTTCGTTTTAGTACCTAAACTTTCAAATTTTTTAAAACTTAACGTTAAATTTTGAACGGAGTACTAAAATGAAACAAAAACTAAAATATAGATACTTTTGAAAAAATTAAAAGTTTAGGTGCTAAACGCGTAATTTACCCTAGAAATTAAATAATATACTTTAAATATTTTTTATCATAAATCCTTAAAAACATAAATAAATTTTAAGGTAAATTACGCGTTTAATACATAAACTATCAGTTTTCATTCATTTTAATACCTCAACTTTTTAATTTTAAAATAGCATCACACCACTAACTAAATTGAAGTACTATTTTATTGTTAAATATTTTTATATATTAAAATGTGATATTATGTAAGGAGGGAAGTTGAGTGTTATTTTTTACAGGACGAATATATATTTAAAATTTGGGTTTAATTTTAATTTTAAAATTAAAATTTAATATACAAATTATGGTAAAATGTCGGTTTATTATTTTATTCAAATTAATAAGTAATCTCGTCTTTTAAAAAATTAGTACATGATTCTATACAAATTATTATAAAACATACAATGTAGAATAAAATCGTCTTTAATTTTATAAAATGTGGTCTATGGAAAAGAAAAATAAGAAGTGGTCTATGCATTTAGACGAGTTTAGTATAGTTTGGTCCTTGAGAAAGTCATAACGACTTTTGGGGAGATCTTTAGCTCTTGTTCACGATTTTTTTTAAGTATTAAATTATGTTAAACCATAATAACTTCTATGAATTTTATTTAGAATAAATTACACGTAGTACTTAAATTATTAGTTTTGGTTTATTTTAGTACTAAATTGTTAATATTTTTAAAATCATATCTAACGTTTAGTTTTTGTTTTATTTTAGTACCTGTTATTAAAAACTTAACGCATTTAGTACGTAGATTATTAACTTTGGTCTATTTTAGTACCTAATCTTTCAATTTTTTCACAAAATTTAACGATAAATTTTGAACGAGGTACAAAATGAAACAAAAACTAAACTTTAGGTATGATTTTGAAGAAAAAAAATCAAAAGTTTAGATACTAAAACAGACAAAAACTGATAGTTTTAGTGCTAAACGCATAATTTAGCCTTTGATATAATTATAGTTGAGGATGGCTTGTCTCACGTTGTACATTTTTGTCATAATTTAATAAACAATTTAGAATTTAAAATACTTTTTTTTGACCATTTTTGCTAAAAGAATAATAGTATTTACTTTCTTTTTATTATTTTAGTTGAGGATGGCTTGTCTCACGTTGTACAT